AGTTTAAAAAACTGACTCTGTGACGGCATGTGTTTCTTGCCCCAGGAGACTTGTGTTATATTTCCCGATCTCAGCAATCCAACTGTAGTAAAATACTAAGCAGTGAGAGATTGGTGGAAGTGTTTTGTGTGACTTGGCAAAAATTTGAAAATTGCTTTTTACGAAAACTGGTAGAGCGGTCGAGCATGAGCAAAGGTTTGATGGCCTCACTGCAAAAACTCAAAGGCAGATCTATGATTTCATATGTATATATATTCATATTCTTGTATTCAGGTATTTTAGGCAGGACATTCATTGCCACTGATTACGTCAGACATCGCTTGAAAACAAAACAGTGAGCAACTAAAGCAACTTAGGCAACTTGAGGCCAAGCTTGACTTTGTTGGCTGCCTGAACCAACTCAAATAGCTATAAATGACTTAAACTTAGATCAACTTGATGAAACGCTTTTGGAAATGTGGGACTCACAAATTCCTACTGCACAAAAAAAATAAAATAAAATAAAACAATGAGCAACCTATAGGTCTATGGTGCCACTGAGGAATCAACAATAGAATATATTATTCCTCCTTTCCCACTAGAAAAACATGTGGAAGACTTTACTGATCTGGTGGTCTGAGTCAAAAGGACTAAAGTTCATGCAAAAACTGAAAAAAGTGTTACACATTATATAACACGGTTGAAATATGCAGAAAATGTGTTTTCTTAACGTGCTGCTATGGTCAAGGTATAAGGACATGAATCAGAATAAATGAGAGTCGGTTTGGAGAGCAAAAGAGGAAAAAATGGTCGATATTATTCTGCCTAAAGCTTCAGGCCCCTGAAACACATACACACTCACACACACATTCAGTATTATCCAACTGTAGGACTGCTTTTGTATAAGGCTTTTGTGGACTAAACCCTGCTCCAAAATGCTTTGCACTCCAGTTTATACACACAACCACACAAGTCGATATAGACATATACTGGCACACACACACACACACTCCAGCCCCAGCTGCGGCATTCATTCTGTCTCAATCTTATTTTCCTTTCATGGCTGTAACTCCTCAACCGTTTAGTGTTTATCAGGAGGTGCACTCGCTGGCCGATTGTTTGAGCCCCTAAATGCATATTTCTTTAATTCCCCAGGGATTAAGAAAGTGTTCCACATTTCCTTGCAATCAAACTCTTGAAAAGACGAACACAGAGCTTTGTCAAAGTCCTCACAGTACTTGACCTCAAATGAACATTAAGTTGCCTGCATTGAGTTCCTCACATTACAGCAGCAAGTTCTTCCAGTTCCCGCCGATTTATCTTCAGTGTACAGTAAGATGTACGTTGCATATCCAATAGGGATTTTCAGAGTAGCAGACACAGATGTGTGAGCATGTCTCCACAGATGAATGCAGTTCTTCAATTTTGTCATTTTTCTCGCCAGATTTTTTGAACCTTTGTCATGCCCTGAATGTAAGTTGTTGTAAAACTTGATCAACCTGTAAAGTGCCATTCTTAGAGCAAGCAAAAGACAGTGAGGTTAGAGCTGTAGCTTCCTGAAAGGCTGTATGGTTAAAAAAAAACAAAAAAAACAACAGCTCCTAAGAGCTATTGTTATTCTGTTCTATAGTAAAGTGAAACAATTTAACAATTCAATTCAAAATTGAATGATTTCAAAATTATTCTGTCACCATAGCGATGGACAATATGACAATATTGTATGTATTCCAAGCGTTACACAACGTCATTAAGGAGCCATCAAACACACTTCGCCTCATGCTCACATATCAGATGCCCTGCCACTCCTAGTGTGCTTGGGGAAGGGCCCCTCAAAAATACCCTCCAACACACCCATGAGATCAGAGAGGCGACTCAGTCACACAGCGATGAGATCATGATATCCAATGGGACCAGCACAGACAGAGAACCAGTGCCAGCCAAGGCTGCAGGAAAGTCAGTAGGAACATTATACCATCACCCAGTGGTCAGCGGTCTGATGTTGTTTATCACACTGCCTGCAGTCACGGACTCGTCTAAGGGGGAATCTGATTCTGGAAACATTTCTTAAGGGTACGCAAAGTGATGCAGAAGAAGCCAAGTCAGGGTTTTACGG